GCCTCCTCCTTGAGTTACCCCGAGGAGCCCGGTAAGGTAAATATTTGAGACTGAAACAGCTTGGATCCATGGAAGTTGGAATTTTAGCCCACGGGAGCATTTCACTGCCAAGTTGCCAGGAGACCCGGCAAGCTGGATGCATTCTGCCTTAGAAAGTTCCTCACGTTTAGTGAAGAGGGAAGAAGCACATCATGGCTTCAAGGTCCACGTGTTGGATGAGGGTGGATCTACACCTTAGATTAAGGCTCTTGTTTTACCAACATTTATTTTCCTTGCTGTCGATTTCTTATTATTAAAAATTCCATTTTCTTGAGGGCACAGGAGTACGCGCCTGTGATCCCAGTTACTCAGGAGGCCGAGGCAGGAGGATCTTAAATTTGAGGTCAGCCTGGGAATTTTTGACACAGTGAGACCCTGTGTCAAAAAATTAAAAGTAAAAACGCATGGACAATAAGTAAATAAATAAAATCTGCTTTCTGGATGTGCAGTATTTCATATACAGCATTTACTACTTTGTTCTCTAGCTTTCTGGTGATAAATATCAAACCACATCCCTGTCCTGCTTAAGGATTTTCAATTCCATTTCTTTTAGGATAAAATCCTGACTCCTAGGGCTCATGGGTGGGGCGATTAGGGTGATTTTACAGCACAGCATCTAAACTGGGATGGCTATTAAAACTTAAGTTAAGAAAACAGGTGTGCTGGGCATGTCCCTAGGAAGCCCAGAAGGTATCCATGAGATCAGGCGCCCAGCTGTTCGCTTTGTGCCAGGTGTGCTGGCCTCCCTTCGGCCACAGTAGAGCCTTCGCTGTCCCCTCGGTCATGTTCATGTGTGCCTTATTTCTCTGGCATTTCAGATGTCAACCGGTCAGAAAAGCCTTCCCTGCCCACCCAGTCTAGTGTGGTCTTTCCAGTGACTCTGTATCTTATCTCTGCTCATTTCCCTCATTACACCTATTAAATTCCAGAAAGATCTTGTTTATGTGTTTGTTTGTTATCTGTATTAGTTACCAGAATGGCGTCAAGGTCTCACCTATCTGGTTCACTAGCCGGGCACACAGAAGGAGCTCAGTTAGGACATGGTAAATAAATGAATGACCAGACAAAGGTCTGGACCAAATGGCCCAGAGGTACCCACTGCCTTGATCCTCCCTCATGGGAAAAAAGAAGGGAGAGACTGAAACCAGAGGCAAGCAGAGGGGAGAGAGAAACAGAGAAAGGAGAGAGGAAAAATCTGTGTAACCATGGACAAATCTCTGGTTACAGGCCTTACAGATATACAATTTATCCTTCATTTCTTCCTTAGTGGGGTTTGGAGTTCCATATCTGGTACCAAAGACTTCTAGGAATGTGGTGAGCCGTTCCTATAGACCGTGGCCGCCATTAGAAGATGGCGCCGGCTTCCACTGTGGCCTGTGATAAACAACTCCTTTTTTGGAGAGTTGGCTCGTAATCCCTTATCACCCTATGAGAAAGCTCCACGTGGCAGCTTTGCATTGGAGCTTGAGATGCTTTATTAAGGCTGGGAGGGCATCCGGGGAGAAGAGAAGAAGAAAGAATAAGAAATATCAAGGGACCTGAATAAACTGCTGAGAGAAGATTCCTGAGTGTTGCGTCTTCCTTGCGGGCAAGGGGTCGCGACATAGGAAGACCTAATTATTTTCTTTGCAATACATATTTCTATGTTTTTTTTTTTAACAAGAAAACATTGTGGCAGAATATGCTAGCTGTGCCCCCATAAGCCGCCTTTTGTCCTCTTTCTTGGTAAATTAGGGGAAGATGTATTCATTTCCTCTTGCTGCTGTAACAAATTATCACAAAGAAGGTCCGAAGTCTGAATGAGTCGGCCAGACTGTGTTTCTTTCAGACCTTCTGAAGCAGAAGGTCTGTTTGTCTTTCCCAAATTCTAGGAGCTTCATGCATTTCTTGACTGACACCCTCCTCCTCACATCGCGGAGACCTCTGCTTCCACGGTCACATCTCCTTACCTGAGTCTTTTATCCAGAATCTTGTGATTATATTGAGCTTCCCTGGGTGATCCAGGATAATCTCCCTATCTAAAGATTTTTAACTTAATTACATCTACCTAGTCCTTGTTTTCCCCATGAAAATTAACATATTTATAGGTTTCAGGATTGGGATGTGGGCATCTTTAGCCGGTCATTATTCTGTCTGTCACAAGGAGAGTGACATTTCCCTATTTTCTCCTCTGATGTCTGGGATCAGGATATGACAGCTACAGCTCAAGTAACTACTTTGGGCCATAGTTTGGAAGTTATGGACTGAAAATAAAAAAGTAGCAATGCAGAAAGCTCTGGGGCCCCAACGATTTTGTGAAATTTCTCTACCAGCCCTGGACTGCTCCTCTGACTTATTTTAGGTAATTCTGGTTTTTCTAAATTCAATGGATAGAATCATACTCTTTATGATCTTTTACATTCTCCCTTTTCCACTTATTTTTATATTTCATCTATTTCTGCAAACTATTAATTATTTTATAAAAACTTAAGTTTTGATGATTGTACTGTTTCCAATTTTTCTTTAAAGATTCTTCAATGATTGGACAATTAGATTTTTTTCCAACTTTCTTTTACATGAGTTTTAATAGAAGGGCTCAAAGAATAAATTCATGGCTTTATGTGGATCTCACATCATGGCAAGTGCTCATAATTGACCAGTAAAGACCTCATGCAGGAGGGAGAAACCTACTCTGATTAAATGAACAGCATCTATAAGAAAACCTTTGGCTTCATACGTCCTGGATTTGAATACCTACATCAAGTAAGGGGATAGAAACATTACGAATCTAACATTTCTAAGCTACAAATCTAACATTTCTAAGCTACAAAGGTGACAATAATATTGTTCAGGTAACTAAAAAAAAAAAAAAAAAAAAAAAAAAAAAATTCACCAGGCATGGTGGTGCACTCCTGTAACCTTCTGCCTCAGAAGGCTGAGGCAGGAAGATCTCAAGTTAAAGGCCAGCCCAGGCAACTTAGCAACACCCCATTTCAAAATAAAATTTCTAAAGACCTGAGGATGTAGCTTAATGGTAAAGGGCCTGTGAGTTCAATCTCCACGACTGCAAGCAAACAAACAAAAACAATAGTTTTTATATAATTGATCAAAACTTGATTTTATTAAATATTTTTGATTGAGCTTTTTTTTTTTTTTTTCCTGTACAGAAGGCTGTAGGAAAAAAATGGAATCCTCTGCACTCTTACTCCCCACCTGGGGCAGTAACAAATTTCATTATTCTTTCAACATCCCACATGACCAACACATTAGGCAATCTTTACTGCTGCATATTATTTCCTTGAATAGCAGTCATAAAAGAAGTTCAAAGGAACTTAAATATAAGAATTTTTTTGTTATGTGCAATTGCAGGGTGTGTGTAATATTAGCAAAGATGAAGTCTGTGATCTATCTCTCTGTGGAATGGCTGTTACTTGGCAGGAAATTTCGAGATGTTATTTATCTATTTATTTAGCTTGTCATTTCCAGTTTCCTTACCCTTTATTTTTCTTCACTGGAGTTCTTGCTAATTAATTGTGTGTGTTCATTGGTTCATTTGCTGGTTTGGATACCTCACTAAAATACCAGAGCGGGGATCCTGTCTGTCTTCTCACGACAGTATCCTCAGTGTCCAGACTGGTTGTAGGTACAAAGTACACATCCAACTGCAAATGCAAGGTGGGGGCGATTTTGGAGTGGGACCAAAGGGATATGAGGGGCTAAGTCATGAAGGAACTGAAAGGCTTTGATTGGATCCTTGGGTAGTTGAGGGGTCATAGACAGATATTAAATTGGAGGAGGGTGAAGGACATGATTAGATAACTTTGGGTCTGGTGTGGAGGGGGAGTCTGGGGATGCCCAAATAATCTGGAGTCTGGGAGACTCATGAGGAAGCTGTTGGGACATTGTAGGTGAAGAGATAAGAGCCCAAGGTCGAAAGTTGGAAATAACAAGAAGGGTAATCATAATAGAAAAATTTGCTGCATAGTCATTAATACTCTTCTAGACTACATTTCCCAGCCTCTTTTGCACTTAGATATGGTCATGTGATATGTTCAAGCCAATGGAATGTGAGCAGAAATAATGACTTCCACTTCCATCCCTGATCCATAGAAATTTCCTGTGGTTCTCTATGTTCATTCTATTTTCTGGATGATTTGTGTTATGGTTTGGATATGGGGTGTCTCCCCCAAAGCTCCTGTATTAATATAGAATTGTTCAGAGGTAAAATGATAAGAAATGGGAGAGCTGAATCCTAATTAGTGCATTCTAGTTAGAATGGAGTGGGTAGGAACTGTAGGCAGGTAGGGTGTGGCTAGAGGAGGTAGTTTACCTGGGGGGATGCCCTAGAAGGGTGCATCTTCCCTGTGGCCCCTTTTCCCACACCCCCCCCCCCCTGCTTCCTGATCACCATGAAGGGAGCAACTTTTCTCCACTGGGTCTTCCCTCATGGTATACTGCCTCATATTGGGCCCAGAGCAATGGAGGCTGTGTGTATGGACTGAGAACCCCAAAGAAACTTTTCTTCCTCTAAGTTGTACTTTTCAGTTATTTTAATCACAATGACCAGAAAGCTAACTAAAACAATTGGGATGGAGATACCATATAATGAAGATAATGGAGCATCATTTACTTGGGTCCTTGAAAAGCCATATAAAGCTGTTCCAATTGTCCAGGAACACTTCGTAAAGTTATATAAACAAGGAAGATATGTCTATTGGGTTATTATACAATTTTGGGTCTGTTATATAAGCCAGTGTTACTCTCATGAATCTTTTTTTATTATTATTTATATATGACAGCAGAATGCATTACAATTCTTATTACATATATAGAGCACAATGAATCTTTAAAACATTTTTTTTAGTTGTTGATGGATCTTTATTTATTTACTTATATGCAGTGCTGAGAATCAAACCCAGTGCTTCACATATGCTACACAAGCACTCTACCACTGAGTCACAACCCCAGCTCACTCTCATGAATCTTAGCACATATTTTTTCTAAATATCAATCTTAATGATTTATATATGATAGCTCACTTAATCTTTACAATAATCTATTTTGGGACATTAATGTTAATCCCATTTTACATATGAGAAAATTGAAACACAAAAGGGATATATAACCTATTGAAGTAGGAAACTGGGATATGATGGAACTGGATTTCAGAGTTCTGGCTCTAATAATTTAAGCAATATCTGAAAATGGAGATGGATAGAAATGAGTAGATTTTAAAAAAAGAGAGATATAGATGTCTTTTCCTTTCAATTGAACATTGTGAATCACAACAGAACCTTTAAAAAAAAAGTTTAAGTAGTGAAGCACAAATATTAATTAAAGTTCAAATCATTATTTATACAATAATAGTTCAAGTAAAATTTAGGAAGATTAAATGGCTGTAGGTTGGGTTCCTGGAATCAGACCCTGAGATTGAGATTCCATGCTGAGGGCAGTGTTCCTGGAAGTAAGGGAAGCAGGAAGACAGGGAGAGTTGAGCTGGTGTGAGCTCTCCACGGAGGTCTCAGCCCTTTACACAGGATGAGTCCTCTGGAGCTCCCTCCTGAGTTCTTCCCATCCAGCAGAGGGGCTGGGCTTTGCTGTGCCTCAACGAGTCCCAGGCATGGGAGTGAAGGAGGGCTTGAGTGAGGCAGCTACATAGGAGAGGGATTCTCTGTGAACCAGGTCTCCCTGCAGTCAGAAAAATAAACATCATGGTCTTGAAGTATCTGAGTGGTGCATCACAACATCCACTACAGAAGCAAAGAAGAAGAAATCATTATATTTACAAATTTTCAGTTGTTCCAGATTGATCCATTGAACTTCAGAGAAATATAGTTCATGGTCTTTATTTATTTATATTTTTATTTATTTATTTTGGTACCAGGGATTGAACCCAGTGGTGCTTAACCACTGAGCCACATCCCCAGCCCTTTTAAAAATGTATTTTATTTAAATACAGGATCTCACTGAGTTGCTTAGGATCTCACTAAGTTGCTCAGACTGGCTTTGAGCCTGTGATCCTTCTGCCCCAGCCTCCCGAGCTGCTGGAATTACAAGCATGGGTCACCACACCCAGCTAGCTCACGGTCTTCTTAAGTGTGTCTGAAGCACAAAAATGCATGTGTAAGGAAATGACAAGAGTTGAGGCTTCAGGGGTGAGCTGAGCCCAGATGAAAGACTTAAATGATATGCCAGGGAGTAGACAGAAATCTGGTAGACAGAAATCTGGTAGCAGTAAAGAGATGAACTAGTATAGAAAGAGATTGGGACAGGCCATTCAGAACTGTTGTGACAGCCATTTCAACAGGGATAAGAGGCTGAACCAGTATCAGTGGGAAGGAGAAGGGCTGAAATTGCAAGGTACTTCAATGGCCGTATTCAATGGTTTTCATGGCTGAATGTAGAAGGGGAGGGAAGATTTGAGGCAAATCTCCTAAATCTAGCTTGAGAGGCTGTGTGAATGAAATTGTGCTTCAAGTAAGTTATGGTGATATTAACTCTTTAGTGACCTGTGGCATGAAACCCCTCTTTAATTGATGAATCAAAAATAAATAATTCTCCAACGGGCTGCTTTTTTCTTTACTTTTACTTTCTTCTGAGCGAGCTTTCTCTTGCTTCCTCCATCCTTTAAAATCAGAAATGAGTTATTGTTTCCATTTACCACTGATTTCTTCATCCATCTGTTTTGACAAAAGTCGTCTTTCTCGTGTGTGTCCCCCTTTCGGTTGCAGATCTAACAACAACAACAAAAATACAATTAGACAAAACAAAACATAAAGTGTTAAAGCAAAGATATGGAATCCATTTTTAAAACTTATTTCTTCATTTGTCAGCAGTTCTATCACGGATGACACCAGAAGTTCTGATAATGGTCTTGAACTATATAGCTACCATGAGAGGTGACATAAAGTGTGATGAACTTGAGGACAATGTAAGGTAGTGAGTGGTGGGTTGCCCTACATAGATGAGCAAAAGCACTTATTGGGAGCTAGTCTGAACAACCACATGAAATCCTTTTGTATACCCAGTGAGTGTAGTTGTTGCATAGCTTTGGTCATTGGACTTTGCCCTTTGTGTTTTCTGGCCTGATTCATACAAGGTTGGAATCTATCTTCTACAGGCAGTTTTTTTTTTTTTTTTTGCCAAGTAATTTAGCATCTTTTAACAACATAAGGTTTTACTAAACAAGGAAAACTAGAAGTTAGTAATTAAGTAAATCAAATCAGGGTAGGAGACATTTATGTTGTACATACCCAGATCAGATTAATCATTCATTTAACAAACATTGATTACATAACATATCTGGGCCAGACAGTGTCCTAGCTGTGCTAAGAATACCAAGGTAGATGAGGCAGATAGAAACCTTCCTCTTCAGAACTTACCCTACAATAAGGGAGAGGAAAGATAAGGAATAAAGAGAGAGCTCGTAATGTGTGTAATTACTAGGAAGAAAATTGAAGATGCAATTTGTGTATCTTACCCTTCCTTCCCATTTCCAGAGGTTTCCCTGCTGAGTAACTGGGTCTTTCAGGGGTAAAACAACAGAATAATGTGAACCTAAACTCATTATGTGGGTGGGTATATTTGCAGAACCTGGGAATTTGGGGGGTGTAGGAAGGCTGGGATTAAATTTTTGAGTATAAATGTGACATAAAATTTAAACTCCCACCATGGACTGTTGCCAGATAGTCCACAAAGACACTGCTTAATATTAGCAATTAACTAATAGAAACTACAGTGGTGTTCTCTTAAACAGTTTCTACTTAAGTGACTCATAGTCTTCTCTCTTCCCTCCAAGGACAAGGACTGGTACTCAGAGCATGACAGAATTAGTCATTCTGTCCCTGCTTGGCCCATTTCTGCTTCCAGGAGTTGAGTTTTATACCTACTCAGAGTCAGGATTTCTTGTTCCCTAACATATTTGTACCAGATTTACTCATTATTAAAATTATGTCATTTGCTTCAATATTATATCAGCTAGTGGATGTGAAGAGAGAATTATTACAATGGGATTTTACTAGAATGATTTGAAAAGACTCAATAATTTCAAATTAGTGATAAAATATTGGGAAAAATAATAAAATTGACACTATATTTTGCTCGTAAGTGTCTATAAGTTCACACTACAAAGTAAGAAAAAATAGAAATGGAAATTGAAATCTTATGGATGTGGTTGGTGGTAAGAAAATATGACTTTAGCTCTTTGCCAGTGAACTTATAAGTGAGGGAGAAAGCTTAACCTTCTCCCAGACTGGACAATACACTCACGCTGATTAAAGTGAAAACATGCTTCCAATGTGTGGAAGTTTGGATCTGAGGTCTCCCCGCAAGGCACATGTGTTAAAGACTTGGTCCCTGGCTAAGTGCTATAGGGAGGTGGTGGAAAGTTGAAGAGGTGTGACTTTGTGGGAGATCTCTGGGTCACTGGGACTTTACCCTTAAAAGGAATTGTGGGACCCTGCCTCCTTCCTCTTTCTGACTTTGCTTCCTGGCCACCATAAGGTGAACAGTTTTGCTCCACCAATGCTTTGTGCCATGATGTGTTTCCTTGCCATAGACCCAAAACAACAGGACCATTTTGATCATGAACCCAAACCTCCAAAACTGTGAACAAAATAAACTTTTCTTCTCTATAAGTTGGTTATCTCACATATTTTGCTATAGTCACAGAAAACTAAAGCACACTGTAAATGTATCCTTTTTATTCCGTAACTGACATTTCTGACTAGTTCATCAATTAGCAATTCTGATTGTGTTGAGTAAGAATTTCACTGTATTGAAGTATGACAGATCTCCCCACCCTCCATTCAAGGAATTCAGGAATGTAGTCTTAGAAGTATTAAATAAGGAATGTGTGTGTCTTCCAATAATTCCTTTGCCCAAACCAAATCTCCTTTTCCTCATTTGTACACTATAAACAAAGAAAATATTTACACTTTTTTTGGCAGCACCTTTCCTTTGAGAATATCAAAGCTCTTTAAGCAATAATGGTTGTGTCCCCCTGAAGAGGTGGGTAGATGTATTTATCATCCTCTTGCTGAGGGTGTTAGATCTGTGCTGAGAAGCTAGCAGATGTCTCCAAGTCATCTCTCAGGAAAATTACGTTTCTGCTAATCTCCCTGCCACGTGACACCCCATTGCCAATTCTTAACAATTCCGAGTACTACGGAGAACTACAAGAATACAAAAGGAACACACTGTCTGTGGGGCCTTGGCTGTGCACCAGCTGTGGGATCTTGGGCGCTTTAGTGAGCCTTTCTGTGCCTCTCCTCCTTTATCGGTGAAACAAGAGAGATGTGCTTATCATACAAGTAAGCCAGAGTGCAGGGAAATAATGTACATGAAAAACAAATCTGGACATTGTAGCTGCAGGGAGTGAGAGCAGCAGTGGCTTACACTTTCCTTTTCGTCTCCCTGACTCCCCTTTCAGAATCACGACTTTTTATTATTTGCTATTTTTGATCCTACATTGATTTATCAGTTCCAGTTTGCATGTTTGATATTGAGGCCAGAAGTGAAATATCTTCCTCCAGGGCTCTTGTCTCTCTGTAGCTCATTGACCCACCTTACCCATCTTGCAAGATGATACTACTTTCAGTAACAAACACAGGCACTGTGGCAAGTTGCTTGGGTAATGGCTTTGAACTACTCAAGACAGCAGTAGGTGGCTAAGGGTTTTGAATAAATTAATAAATTAAATCTAAGGGTTTGAATAATTTAATTACATCTCTTCCCCATTCAAAAGAATATGCCACAAAGGAGAAAAAAGTGAAATATACTGAATTTCCAATAATAGGGATAACTCATGTACAAGATGGTCTGATGGAAGGCCATTCACGAAAGATGTTATAGACGAATGTCTGTTGGCGTAGAAGGTCAGTGGGATAAGGGGGCCACATATAATGTAGTACCATCATCACGAAAGATATGCATTTGAATAAAAATATTTGGAAGGATAAGTAGTAGCTATCTCTGGATGATAGGATTACCGAAATTTAAATTTTCCTTTATGCTTAGCTAAATTTTCTATAGTAGATATATGTTCTTTTTTTGGAACCCAGGATCAAACCCAGGAGGGCTTAACCACTGAGCCACATCCCCATTCCTTTTAAATTTTTTTTTTTCTTTTTAAATTTTGAGACAGGATCTTGCTAGATTTCTTAGGGCCTTGCCAGGTTGCTGAGGCTGGTCTTGAACTTGTGATGGCTCCTGCCTCTGCCTCCCAAGATGCTGGGATCACAGGTGGTACTACTACCTGACCTATATGTTGCTTTTGACGAAAGACAAGAGCCGAATGAAATACAGTTCTGTTGCAAATCTACTTGTAGTACAATGAATAATGACATTTTGGGAAAAAAGTGCCAATTCTAAAACAATAAGAAAGGAAGACTTTTTTAAAAAATAGAAAGAATGAGTTTATTTTTTAAAAAAGATGGAGTCACTTAATGACAAATGTCTGAAATAAACCAAGTGTTACTTGCAAACCTTAGCTGAATTGTCCCTTAAACTGCCTTTTTTTTTTTTAAAGGAACACAGAGCATGTATAAATAAGCATACTTTGAAACATTTAAATTAAACAGTCATAAATGGCAACATAGTGTATTTTTTTTTCTTATTTGACTTGCCAAAATATCACTTTAAAACAAATAACCTTCTGAGACAGAGGATAGATACATCTATCTTTCTAATCATAATAAAAACTATTGGTTTTTATAATAAAATTTAAAAATTATTGGTCTTTGATGTGCTTATGTCTCAAATGTTTGTAATATTCAAAGTAATGGTTAAATCCTCACTTCCTCAGGACACAGGTATCACTGTGTTCATTTTATGGTGGCTGAGAATTAAAACTCAGAAAGTGAAGTTTAAGGGGCAGAACCACATTGCCTGTCTAAAAAATCACTTAACAGGTATTTGCTGAATCTACTTGGTTAGTTATGTGTGCTGTGTGCTGGAAAAATACCAATGAACAAGACACCGTGTTCTTGTTCCTTAAAGACTCTCACATTCCGGTTGAGTGACATGAAGCATATAATTGTAAATGTAATAAATCTTCAGAAGAGGGAACACAGGATGTGAAAAGGGGGTTAATCTAGTCTGCAGCATCTGCAGTCTGTGTAGGAGTTAACCAGGCAAAGAGTGGGTAGAAGAGTATTCCTGGTGGAGGGAACGGTATGTGTTAAGGCACTGGGGTGACATTTTGCTATAATAATGTGGCATCACCGGCCACCTACAACTTTGGCTTGAAATGATAGTGTTTATTGCTCCCATTCCGGTCTGTGGGTCAACTATAGACACCTGGATATGGCTGGATTCCAGTGTTCCGGTCTCTCTGGTATATTGCTTGTCCCTTTATGATGAATAGCTTCCTGGAACATATTCTTTTCATGGAATATGTCAGAAGCACAAGAGCCCAAATGAAATCAGACAAGCGTCATACTCAGGAACATTCCAGATGCTAAAGTAGGCCAGATAGTCAAGCCCAAATATCAGGGGGATGGGAAAAATATTTTACCCAGGTCTGGATTTCATATTTGGGGGGATTCTAGAATATTCACATACACATAATGAGATATCTTGGGGACATATCTAAGTCTAAACACGACATTCATTTGTGTTTCCTATATACCTTGGATACATAACCTGATGGTGATTTCATACAAATATAAAATAATGTTGTGCAGGAGATACTACCTCATAGTGTGGAGCTTTCCATCTGTGGCCTGTTGCTGCTCAAAATTTTTGGATTTTTTGATTTTCACATTAGAGATGCTCCACCTATACCATGATTAGCTCATGAGGCCTAAGCAGCACCCATAGAATTAAATGTTCCTCCTCGGTTATGGGTCAAGTATCAGTCTCTGTGTGACAGCAGCACTTTCAGATACTCTGCTTCTGAGGCATTGAGAGTAGTGTTCGACCCCCTGAGCAAGCAGTATTGAATCTGGTCGCTGCTCATTCTCCTGGGATGACGGTCAGCTATTTTACACACAGTGAATAAGACAAACTCATCGTAAAATGTGAGGAAATATCTGATTTGACTATTTTTATCCCATGAGATAATTTCTTCTACTTGGTCACATCATTTTGATATGTCTCAAGAATAGTTCAGCTTATTTTTAACCATTGTTTAATAGATGTATTCATTTCCTTTACAAGTGCTCAGCTCTAATGCCTGAACAAACAGGTGTGGGCACAGTAGTTGGCCCAATATAAACTGGTACAAGTTCACAGGTTTAACACGCATCGGCTTTCTTTCTTTCTTTTTTTTTTTCCAAAAGAACATTTATTCAACATAGACAGCCAGTGCGTTATTAGCTGTCATTGGATATTCTGCCATAACAACTGTTTTAGTTTCAGTTGAGGTGATTTTTTTTCCTTTTGCTCATAAGAGATTAAGTAGAAATCACTGTATCCATGATCTTTCGGTTCTGAAGCCATTTCCTTTCTCTTCGCTTCACTAAAAGCTCAATTTTATAATATTAAAATTTTAAAATAGGGCTGGGAATATAGCTCAGTTGGTGGGGTGCTTGCTTTGCATGCACAAAGCCCTGGGTTCAATCCCAAGCATCACAATAAACAAATAAATAATTAATTAAAAAATAAAATAATACCTAAAATTCTTCTCTCTTCTCTCTCAAACACACACACACACACACACACACACACACACACACACAGACTTGTTAGTTCCCTGTAAATTTCATTATAAAGTATGCACCCTTTCAAAGGAAATCATTGAATCTAAGATTAATTTAGAGCAATTTTTTTCTCCTTATTTTTCCAGTTAGGCAAGGTTTCTGCTTGGTTATATTATTGTATTTTATTATTTAGTTTTCAAAGATTAGTTGGAGACAGGCTACTGTCTTTTGTTTCCTCTCCTGATGTATTTTCTGAAAGCTATACCAACAGATATTAAGATATAAGCAAACCCAGGTCTTTGTGCGTGCGAAGCAAGCGCTCCTGATATATATTCTCCTTATTTGAGCACCTTTCCATGGTTGGGTGTGCTTTCCTGCTCTTTTAGTCTGGTACCCCCTTTAAAAGTCATCCAAAGAATGTACTTTCCAAGTAGCAGCAGAATTTAGAGAGGAAGAGTCCCTAACATCTTCCCTGAGTGAAAATGCAAGTGGAAAAATCCCTTGGCTGTTGGGAACAAATACATGCCCCAGTTTCTCCCAGATGGTTTGCCTTTCAAGGGACCATGGTAATTATCTGCTTGTGTGTCTGTTGAGGTGCTATTCAGTGAGTTTAAAAGGCCTTGATTTCCGCAGGTGGATCCGGGGCTTGATTACAGAGAGCTGGTAGCCCACGCTTGGCCTTGATTCATGAGTTCTGTCCACAGGTCTGTCATTTTCCAGTTGTTTCAGTTAGTTTTTCCTTCTTAAAATAATGGAATAGTAATATCACTTTTGCTATAGCTTTTAAATGTTTACGTAAGTCCAAACAACAACAATAAAATAGGAGCTGTAGCTTCATTGGAGACATGAATAAAATCAATGTCATGATTATTTTGCATTCGGTTCCTCTCCCTTTTATTGAAATAACCTGTTTACCTAGAGTGACCCAATTAACTGCTTTGTCATTGTATAGACCAAAGTTCTTATTAGAATTACAACCCTAATTAATATGAACATATGGCTTTTAAACTTCAAAGAAAATCTTAATATCTACTGGCATAGTTTTCTTTAAAAATGGTAGGCTTAGCTGGGCACAGTAGCTCATGCCTGTAATCTGAGTCTGGGGAGGCTGAGGCAGGAGGATCACAAGTTGAAAGTCAGCCTCACTAACTTAGGGAGGTCCTAAGCAACTTAGGAAGATCCTGTCTCAAAATAAAAATAAAAAGGGCTGGGGATGTAGCTCAGTGTTTAAGTGCTTCTGGGTTCAATTCTTAGTACAAAAAAAAAAAAAAAAAAAAAGTAGGATCTTCTGGGCCTAGTGTTGTTTACCTATATTCCCAATAGTTTGGGAGGCTGAGGCAGGAGGATCACTTGAGGCCAAGAGTTTGAGGCCAACCTGAGTAACATAGTGAGACTTTGTCTCAAAACAAAACACAAACAACAACAACAAGAAGATAGGATAATATCAGATCATCTTTTTCAGAATGTTATGAGGTTTCAATTAAAATTCACTTTGCTATTAAATCATGTGGTTTTATATATTTTCACTAGATGTAAGTCAGCCTGCCATAGTGGGAAACTTGGAAGCTTAGAAATTGTGAATATAAAAAGAAACCATGGTCAGATAATTTTGGAAATAAACAAGATTAAGTAAAACATAAAGTTTTTTGAATGGAAAAAAAAACAAAAAACCCTGTGAATATAAATTTTGTTTCTTTCTAGTTACATGAACCTCCCCAACCCAACCACACTGTGTTGGTTTGATTTGAATGTCCAGTACTTGTTCTGCCCACCCATGGAGTATCAGAAAGTACCAATGGTGTAATGAGTAGGGACGCTATTTGAAAACTGTTAAGGGTCATACGATATAATTTAAAGTGAAAGTTTAGATACACCCTCTTTTCGCTGTTTCTGTTTGATAATAATTAACTATGAATTATCTCACATATTGAAGTTTCTGGTCAAAACAGAAAGTCAAGAAGAAAGAAAAAGGTTAGAAGAGCAGATTTAATCAACAGATAAACTAAAGTAATAAACGTCAGCAAAGATGGTGAATAGCTGATCAATTAAAATTTTATCAACTTTACCAAAGTATCTTTTTTCTCAAACTATAAAGTATGTGGGAAATAACCTAACAAAGACTTTTCTGAGAAACACCTAAAATCAGATTGTACATTTGAAAGGACCTGAATAAATGGAAAGATATGTCTTTGACATGTAAATATGTAATTTAAAAATTAACCTAAAAATTCAAGGTATTTTCAAAAGAAATTTATAGCAAGGCATTTCATTTTGAGGACCTCACCATACTTATTTTAAAATTTAAATGAAGGAATAATGCTTCATGATGCCTCAGTCTACTTTCAAAAAACTCATTCTCCTGGATAAACCAGTTTGGACTGGTACACAGTCAAATAGATCTGTGGAAAAAGGACCCAGAGTCAGCAGCAGACCCAAACCTGTATGGGAAACTGCTTTGGGATAAACAGAGCACCATAAATCAGTAGGGAAAAGATGGATTACCTAGAACCCACTAAAGGGCAACTGGGGAAACTGTTCATTACAGTCACCCCTCAGTATCCTTGGGGGAATTGGTTCCAGTACATGCTGCTGCCTCCCAGTATAGCAAAATCTGAGAATGCTCAAATCTCTTATATAAAATGGTATAGTATTTGCACATGACCTGGGCACATGTTTCCCTATACTTTAAATCATGTTGAGATTGCTATAATACCTAACACAGTATAAGTGTCATAAGCAGTTCTTACACTTTGTGTGTGTGTGTGTGTGTGTGGTGCTAGGGATTGAACCCAGTGCCTTGTGCCTGTAAGGCAGGCACTCTACCAACTGAGCTATATCCCCGGCCCTAAACTTCTTATTTAGGAAATAATTTTTTAAAGCTTGTACATATTTAGTACAGATGCAATTTTTTCCCCCAAATACTTTTGATTTGTGATTGGTTGAATCTGTGAATGCAGAACCTGAGGGTATGGAGGATTAATATATGAAAGAAAACAGGTTGGTTCACTGTCTCAAGAATATACAGAACAGAAATTCAGTGCCAAGGTAAAATTGTAAAGCTAAGAGAAGCTACTGGAGGCGTTAAAGGAGATTCTTGATGGCCAAACCACCAAGTTGGAAATTTATTGGTTTTTGACTATGTTTTAAAAATTAAGAATTTCTGTTAAAGGACATACACTATAAGCCAGAACAGCCAAAAGATGACAAATGAGAAAAGATTTATATCTAAAACCTACAAGGGATAAGTACCTAGAGTATACCAAGAAGCATCAGGTTTTTTTTTTTAATGAAAGTAATAATAATAGAAATTAAAGTGCTTAGCACAGAGCCTGCTATACAACTCATGTTTCCCGTTTGCTATTACTAGTTCATCTGTTTTATCTTCTGTGACAAAACTCTCTTTGTGTTGAGTCATGACATATGAACACTAAATTTCTGGTTTCTGCATGGTTTGGTGGTGTTAGCTTACCAGAGAAATATATGTGTAAGTATTCAGCCAGTCTCAGTATCCACAAATCCTGCTTGATAACGTACTTGGATATGGCAAAGGTTAAAAAAAAAAAGGTGGAGAAAATAGTGGCAGTTCCTGCAACACAGAGGTGAGGAGTGCTGTGTGCACCACTGTAGCTATGGAACCGACTACCAGTGACCCTGCCAGGGGATGGAGCAAGAAGATCACGTCTCATGGCTTGAGGTGTGAATCTTGTGACTGTCATATTCTATCCTCGCCGAAGCCCAGGTCCCGAGGGTGCCGTGTCCATAGTGACTAGGAGAAGCAGCTTCCCGCTCCTGAGCTCTTGATCCAGGTGTAATCTTTGGCTGTTGGGGCTGGGGGAGCTGAATGGGTCAGCCCTCTCCTGCTGGGCTTCTTGGGGACTCCCATACCCAAAGTCAGGCTGGCCTCTCAGAGATGGCTTTGCTCACCACCTACCAAACCTGCTCTCTGAAAGCAGAGCTTTGTCTTTTTCAGTTTTATGACCTCAGCTTCAGGGAAGGCTTTGGCTCTCCAAGTGTGACCCAAAAACTTGGATGATGACTCACAGGGCAGAAGGCAGCAAGCTGCAGTCAGTGGCAGTGACCCTAACTGGGTTCACTCCTTGAACTTGAAGGATGGATACAGCAAGTCAGCCGGGGCCATCCTGTTGATAGAGAAAGAAGGGAAACTGATGATAATTCTTTGCCACATATGGTCATGAACACTGTCTCTTTCTATCCTCTGCAATCTTGGGAAATGCACATGCCTATCTCCATTTTACAGATGCAAAAACTGCAGCTTGAGAGAGAAAATTGCTGAAGGTTACTTCTAAATGACTCCCTGGGATTTGAACCCTGGGTCTGTTTGGCTCTGAACCCCACAGGTTGTTTGGCTGGTTTTTAATTGTGCTACTCCTTATATCTGCCGGCTTGGAGTGGGATTGAATGGAGGTGGGATAGATACTGTGATAGGTGGCCTCCACGGAAGAGTGGATGGCCAGTCCCATCCTTGTCGGATCTTGGCCAGTGGTTGTCTTAGGTTATGGAAAGCTAATTACTCCTCCCGATGCTGTGTTTGAACATGTGCTCTTGTGGTCAGCTTGTTTTAGGTGTGGCTTTGGTTCTCAGCAGAAACTCTGTTCTCATGAAACAATGCCATCCTTAAAGAGCTGTGATCTGCTTGTCATTCGGAGAAGCGAACGCTTCTTGGAAGTATACTATACAGCATGGATGGAGTCTCTCTCCAGAAAGGAAACCAGACAGGGCTTTCGAGACAGGCAAGAGCTTGCTTTCTGAGAGGGAATTTCATTTCTCAGTGCTTCTGGGATCTGATGCTTTAACAAGTTGGTTGCTTAGCCACTAACAGAGATGCAGTTGTCCAAACATCTACAACCGAGGTGTGTATGTGTGTATGTGCGTGCGCCCGTGTGTTTGAGAGATCACAGGTTTATCTGTACCAATGCTATCAGATCTGAGAAGGATTGTTGTAGCTACATACTACACTGATTCAATTAGAAATCAGCCTCTAACATCTATGGCAATAATTCTGCTATATCATCATAAATAAAAAAAACCATTCACTGTGTATTTGCTCTGTGATGGGCTCTATAGTAGCTATTTTATGTTCCCAACCATTTTCTGATATGTTACTTAAGATTGTATTGACTAGAGGTAGCAGAAACTCAGCTTCAATGGTTTGACCACATGAGGGGATTTTTGTTTTTTCATGGAGTAAGAAGTTCAGCTGTAGATAGTTAGAGCAAATACAGGGCCCTTGATGCCATCAGAAACTAGGTTCCTTTGTTAAAAGATTTCTTTTTCATGTTCCCAGCTGGCTGCTCTATTTCAGCTGTCACAACTGATTTTTTGGTAAGAAGTAGGAAACAGGGAAAGGCTAAGAGGTAAAAACTAAGAAGATAACTGCAAGCTGATTATATGCCCTCGAACGAGCTTTCTCAGAAACTCCAGCTGGTACCTCCACTTGCACCTCATTGCCTAGAACTGTGTTGCATGGCCACGTCTGGCTGCTATGGAGTCAGGTAGTCTAGAGGGTTTAGAGAGCCCCCTTGCTTAGTGAGAAAGAAAGATGGCTGGCCGTTGGCTTTTAACTAGTAGCACCTACCTCTAATAACTAATGTTGGTTCAATATTTATAGATAAGATAAGTAGAATTAGACAGATGTTTGCTAAAGGTCACCTAGCTAGGGAGTGACAGGTGAGACCAGAATCCGTGACTGTCTGACTCCAAAGACACTTTCTTAAATTCTGTACTATAATTTGTTCCTGAGGCTTGGTGATTTGGGGGGCTAGAAAACAGAGGACTTCAGGGTTCCTCTCAGGAACAGGAAGGGGAATTGACTTCTCGACTTATTTCAGAATAGATTTGTGACTGACATATGAAAGACAAGGAAAGCAGATTTGGGTGCAAGACAAGGAGGTATTTTCCAAATAATAACCAGCTGTTAGTGATACAGGCCATGTGTAGTCTCTCAGGAGCACTTGTGAAGAGATTGGATTGGCTCTCAGAGGAGATCCTTGAACTGGCAGGAGTTTGGGTCTATCCTGAGTTCAAGATTTTGGTTTATAAAACAAAAGTGGCTGAGATAGAACAATTTTGGAAAAAGGAAGGTGTTTGAATTCAGTATAGATGCCTCCTGGTTGTCAGAACTAGAGTGACCATATCATTGATTTATGGTCTAAACCAGAACATGTTTTTTGAATAAAAGAAGGGTTCTTTAGAAATTATGTTGGGTCAAAGGGGAATACTAGGATGGGCCCAGATCAGTCCGAAGCTGTGGCTCCTCTATTCTTGGTCTCCTAATGAGCACAGGACTAGGGAGGCCTGGATTTGTAGGAACTGACAGCTGGGTGATAGCCAGAAAGGACGGACACCTCAAGCTATAGAGCTCTCCACTTCTGAAGGCTGAGCCTTCGAAGAGGCCCCGTATGTGATGGGCTTTGGTGACAGGTGTTGAAATCTTATAGACAGGGACGACATGTGTCACACTGGAAACATGAGCTTGACATAGACCCGTGCGCCCTGAGTCTCCTCTCAAATGACTCATTCTTCAGAGACACTGAGCTTGGATAACACTGGGTTACTTTCTGACTCAGGAACCCAGCCCTGCCAGCCTGGAAGGACATGGATTTCATACATCCTGATCAACTCCTGAGCTTTTAAAAACTGCTTTTCTGGTTTGCTGAGTGACCTTGAGCAAGTCACAACCTCTCTGTATGGTTTGGCTTCTCCTGTAGAGGAAATCAAATGGTGGAAATGATGGTTATGCAACAGAAAAAAAAATGATTCAAGATCTTCCAATGAAAGATACCACATGGAGCCAAGTGATATTATTTTTATGACAGTTTTTAGTAGAAGTGTTTCTTGTCCCATCCCCTCTCATTAGGCCACAGGGCACAGAGTAAACACAGGTTTGGCCAGTGATGGGTATTTGATGATGTTGGCACCAGAGACGAAGGGGAGGAATTTCTCTCTGGCTTTCATTTCACTATTAACCTGATAATGCCCGGATCTAGGTGCTTACTAGTGTGGAAACAGGAACCAGTGAGAATCTCGTCTATTGTTTTATAGCAGAGGCAGCCTGATCAGGAGACCTTTTAATAATGATGCAATTAAAATATTGTCTTTAGTCCTTCCTTAATTCCTTTATTCAATAAATATTGATTGAGTGCCTCTGTATGCCAGGTCCGTTTCCCAATCATAGAGCAAGGTGCGTAAGGACAAGCATTAAGCTCTCCGATGTTTGTTGGATCAAGGAATTTGTCCCAGGTAAGGTTTGAGAGCTGACCTCTTTTCATAATTATCTGTTCTGTCTCAATGCCAGGGGTAAATTCAAAACTGTTCTTATCCATTTTCTAAAGGAACAAGACCAAATTCCTTAACATGGTTTAGAAGAGGGATGGAAGAACATTTCAGTACAACTTTTAAAACTGAGTTGGGAAGGAAAACTGTACACTGATCCCCCATACATTAAAACTGACCAAATCTTGTAATGGGCAATCACTCATTGACAATCATGAAGTACATATAGTGCCCATATCACTAATCTCCTTCAAACACACACAGTGACAAGTGATTTTATTTTCCAGAATCTGGAGTAGATTTATAACCTTCTGTCCCAATTTCCGTCATTGATCAATCATGTGGTCATGCAATTAAGTGGTTTTGTCTTTCTTCCCACTGAATCATATAGAATATTTTGCAAAGGGTGCCCACAGATGACTAACATCCAATTTTCCTGGGATGTCTGTTAAGAATCCAAATTCCTGGCCCCCACCCTTCCCACCTCTGCCTCGATGCCAGGGATAAATGCAAAACTGTTCTTATCCATTTTCTAAAGGAACAATACCAAATTCCTGAGCATGATATAGAAGAAGGGTCAGGGTTTGGCACCTATTTATCTTTCTGTCTCAATTCTTACCGAGCCCTTTTTGAACAACAAGTTCCATCTATTAGACTTTTCCACAGGTCCATGTCTATCCAGTTCTTTTGTACCTCCAGGCTAGGGGTTGGCAGACATCTTCTGTAAAGGGCCAGACAGTATTTTGGTTTTCTGGTTCATGCATTTCTGTGGTTCAGTGCTGCTGTTGTAGTGTCAAAACACTATAGATGAAGTGTAAATAAATGAATGAGCATGGGTGTGCACAAATGAAACTTTATTCATAAAATCAGGCAGCAGTCTGGATTTGGACATGGGCTATAGGCTGCTGATCTTTGCTCATACTATGGTCTTTTGCTTATTTCCATTAAACTACTATTTCTCCCCCCATTCATTTGACCATTATATATTTGATTGCCACTGAAAGTCTAAGGCCTTTCCCTGCCACCCTGGGTGGTCACTAACAACACTGTAGTCTGCAGATGATAGAAAGTCATCCCCGCAGATGATAGAAAATCAAACCTATATTTTTCCCCCTAACTTAATTGTAATTTTCATTAATTCATTTATGCATGAATGACTTCACTGAGTTATTCATTTAACAATATTTACTACGGGACCTTCCATGGGGCAAAATGGATGACTTTTTCATGTTCGTGCAACACCCTGCTGAAAGTCTGGCACAGAAGACACCCCTGATACAATATTATTATTTTTAAATTTTATTTATTTATTTTTTTGGTACTGGGGATTGAACTCAGGAGCACTCAACCACTGAACCACTTCCCCAGCCCAATTTTGAATTTTATTTAGAGACAGGGTCTCACTGAGTTGCTTAGCACCTCACCATTGTTGAGTCTGGCTTTGAACTCATGATCCTCCTGCCTCAGCCACTGGAGCCACTGGGACTACAGGCGTGGACCATTGCAACCAGCCAGTGATACATTCTTATTGAATAAAAGGAGAAAGAACTCAGTAAAGAAATCCTTTGCCAAAGCTACATTATGTCTTTGTGATAAGTGCCCCATGGTGAAACAAATGATGTTGAAACCTCTCTGTTGGGAGGAGGGATTTGGTAAGGAGCTTTTCTTTCTAGGTTTCTGGAATCTGGTCTTGAATAGTTTGGTCCTTCCCACCCATTATCCATTCTAGTCCCTTTTCCTAGGAACTGGGATCCTGCTTTCTGGTGACTTCTGTGGTGACATCTATGACCAAAAGTAATAGTATCAGCTTCCAAACTCCCTCAGGCAGGTGGTAGACTCATGTGAGCTTGTAGGTCGCCAATACAGTGGCCAATACTGCAGTGCTTTTCTTATTTTTACTTTTATAAGTGGGAACTTAAATAGCTCACAGCATGGTGATATTGAAATAACTTTTTTGGAGAGTCTAAAAAAATATTTTTCATCCAGTCTCTGGCTCTTCGAGAGTGATTTTGAGGTAAATGTAAAAAAAAAAAAAAAAAAAAAAGGAAGCTTCTTGATTATTCATTTTACAGACATTATTTCATGAATTCATTGGAATCAAAATGTATTGTAAGGAGAGCTTCCGCCATCTTCTCCCACTTGCAACCTATTCTGATTGTAAGCAGAAGAGTTATTTAACTGACTGTCACCAATGGAACCAAAATGACTTCATTCAATCTCAACTTGGCCAGAAGTCCGATTTTCAAGGGTTACCAGGAAGGTAATGTGTTTGTAGTCAGAGGAGAGAGAAGAAAATGGTTACAGCTGGTTACAAAACAAACATCAAGCCTCCGCCCTGTTTCTCATGTTACGAAGGCAAATAGGAAAGAAGCCAGGAGGGGGCGGGGGGGGGGGGGGGGTTGTTGGCAGGGGGTGTTGGGTAAACACTATGGAAACGGGAGAATGTTCTGGGTCTCCACTTTTTCTTTTTTTTTTTTTTTTCAATAGAAGAAACCAGTAAGGGAGGTGGCAGTTCAAGAGTGAACACAAGGCTCTCTGTTTACCAGCTTACCCCCACAGGTAACAGCAAACTCTGTCAAAGTTCCTGTGTGCCTGGGCCTTCTCACCAGCCTGAGCTAACACTCCAAGGCTTCTGTGGGGGAAACCAAGGTGGGAAGAACTGGCCACCTGTGGAGGCCGGGGGAAGGAGGGGAGTGGGGGGCAGGGTCACAAACTGACCTTTGGTTACAAAAGAAAAATAAGGCAGTGGTGTAAACTGAACAGGACCACAAAAGGGTAGTAAACACAGAAAGGACAGAGTGGAGAGTGTGGCGTTGGTAAGCTAACCCTGTTGCAACAGGCACTCACGCAATTTAGTGGTAAGAAACTTCTGGAAAGTTCCTCATTTAGTAAGCTGTTGTCACAGTATATTTTGAATTGTTTTATAGCAGTGTTTGTGTGTGTGTGTGTGTGTGTGTGTGTTAGGTGGACAAGACATTGGCAAATGAGTTTCATAGATAAATTTGCTGCTAGCTTGACTGAGGTAGTCAAGTTTAAAATAAAACACCATCTTCACTTTGTTTCTGGCATGAACACTTTACTTTTGAGAATTCTCATGAAAAGTTTAGTGTCACCATTTGGCCACATCTAACAGCATCCGTATGCACATGTCCTTTGACTCTGCCTTTCTACTTTTAGAAATCCATTCCATAGTTCTATTCATATATATGTGCAAAAAATATGTGTGTGGGAGTAAAAATTTGGAAGCCACATTATGTCTATCAGGAGGGGCTGGGTAAATTATAGGACATTTATATTATAGTGCAGTTGCATAGATTTGCAGGAAACCCCTCAATGTGTGCTAAGTTTTGCTAAGGAACATAAGAGCATATGGAAGGGTGTGGATATGCAAATATGGTTGCACATACATTGGATATTTCTAGATGGATGCCCAAGAAACACAACAGTGAATACCTCTATGGAGAAGATTCCAGAGATCGATAGAAATTTACTTCTACTCTGTAACTGTTTGGCACTGTTTGAAATTTTTATTGGCCGGGTACATAAATCATTTTTAAAAAATTAATGGTAATATCATTCTCTCCAATTATGTAGGGTTTGCTGCTGGTGGTATCAGTCAGTGCTCAAAAGAACATACTGAAATATCTGGTCTGATTTCATGAACTAAAAATGGTTCAAAACTCCATGGAAGAAGGCATCTTTCAGTTAAGTGTATATTTGGGAAGACTATTTTGGTATCTAATGAATAATAGAGAACATTGATTTAAACTGCTGTTTTTGTGCCAGCAGTTTGGAAACCTAGGGAGCTGCGCCTCTGCCCAGGAAGTCATAGCAAAGGCCTTTTGATGTTGAGGGGCACCCTGCCTGAAAGCCTACAGAATCATTAATTAAAAGCCTCCAGCTTCTCTCCTATATTGCAATTCCATAGCTCTTACAGAGTCATTGCTGCCTCTCTCCTTTTGCCTGAGGATGTCAGAAGCATGTTAAGAAGGATAAACACCCACTGATTTATTTACATTAAATAATACCCTGCTCACTCCCAGCAGCCAATAAAATCAGTGGGCTTTGGAAACCAGTCACATGACAGCACCCTAGCAACTCCTTTCTGAAGTAGGGTTCATGGCTGGAAAAATAAGTACAGAAGAGCAGCCAACACACATTCTTTTATGAGACCTGCCACTGAATCAACCCTGGGTACTCTGGGGGAGGGTTCATGACAGTGGGAACTTTATTTAACCTTTCTATTAATGTTTCTATTGGCCTGTGTTATCTCTTGCAATGTCAAGTGCACGGTTAATTAACCCTTTCTTGGCCTATGCCACCTCTCTTTTCAGATTGTAAGCTCCTTAAATGCTAGATTGGAGTTACTCATTCATTCATTTACAGCCCAGATATTTAATGCCCACCTGCTACAGGTGTGAGCTTTTGCTAAGCCCTGGGCGGTGCAAAGAAGAGGAAGACATACTCCTTGCTTCTGGGACACTCACAATCTTCTAGAAGTCTCTTCCCAGTCTGATGATCTTATTCAGAACTGGGTCTTCCAAGGTTATTGGCACAAAAATCACTCAGGAAGTCACTGAACAAACCCTGGTTGATTGAGAAGGGGTTCAGGCTGTGAACCCAGAATGGTGTCATGAGACTACAGTGTGCCGTACATTTTTGCTGATGAGCTCTGAGTAAATTACCAGACAATTTCTCCAGACCTCTTGGATATTTAGAAATTTAATTCCTTCCTTTCTTAGATCCTTTCTGGATCTGGGAATGGAATTTCTTTTAGGGTTGAGGACAGTTATTCTGGCCCCACAATAACTTGGGCTACACATTCTTTAGGAAGTAGGCTTGCTTTTCATATGGACAAAAAAAATTTTCACCAACAAAGGGGCACAGGAAAGGGGAGGAAGTCAAGGAAAGCAACATTTCCTGAGTGCCCACTCATGGCTTCCCCTCATTTAGTGAACTACCACCCCAGGAAAACAGCAACACTCATGTGCAAAGAGATGTGCATTTAGGTTTGGGTCTAGGGGTCAGTGGGTGATATATCACCACACACACACACACACACTCATACACACATGTGTATATAATTATGCTGTATTTATAATTTAAAATTAAATGACTTATAAACTACTCTGCTATGAGCCTAAAGAATTAGAAGCCACGATCTATGCCCTCGAGAGTGCAAGAAAGAGAGAGAGAGAGAGAGAGAGAGAGAGAGAGAGAGAGAGAGAAACAGAATAAGAAACACATTCAAAGTTAAATAGCCACATGAAAATTATGTAACAGTACAGAGAGGATTTTAGAGCTGGCTGGATTCACAGCAAACATTTAAACCAGAGTTTCCTAAAATAGGGTGTAAACATCATTGATGGCATGAAAGATGATTTGAATATAAACAGCTTAAAATTTCATTAGGCATTTATTTTAACATGCATTAGAAAAATCTAGACCTAGCATATCAAGCCCTTGTGTACATGAATATTACTGCTTACTTTGAGGTTACCAAAAAGATTTAAAGATTATCTAAAGGAAAGTATTAAGTAAGTAGCTGTATAGAAGATGTGGAACAGGGACATGGCAAAGAGTCTGCAAGTGTCATTCGAATGGCCTGAGTCTGGGAGAGGCAGACCAAATTCAATCTCTGGGATGAAGAGAGGTTCAGCTAGTTGCTCAAGGTCACGGAGCTAGTGGAGATCATAGACCAGAAAGTGGTCATCTGACTGATCCTCTGCTCCCACATCCTCCTTCACTCACTACTTCCTATTTTGCAGATGAGGAAATTGTAATCTGAATAACAAGTTGCCTCTTTTGAATATGACTATCACAAAAATCTGACTGCAAAGTAGAAAGCATTGAATTGGCTTCATGAAAAATGAACTTTAATATTTATAGAGTGCTTACTATGCATGCCAGTATTACAAAGATTTCATACATAATAATTTATGGTAATCCCCACACCATTCTGTGGGATGCACTTAGATTATTTCTACCATCTCTCTTGTCATATGAGCAAAACAAGGAACAAAGATCAAGTAGCTTTCTTAGGTCACTATTTGCATAGATGGGATTTGAACCCAGGTAGTCCAGCTCCAGAATTTGTCCACTCAACCATGACCACATTCCTCACCAATAAGTGAAGAGGTGAAAGGGCAACTTGTTTACCTGGTGGCATTGCAAAAACTCTGTTCAGACAATATGGTACGTTCCTGTCCCCTCCTGCCTTGAATTTTCCAACGGGTGCCTTGCTCCACTCTATGGAACGTGTGGGTTTTCCACACCATCACTTTTCAATGTGCAGAGATTCTTGAGAGGAATCCCTGAGCGCCAAGAGCAATCCTTTTATAAAGACAATCTGTGAGTTTACTATGATGAGAACTATAAAGAAACAGTCCCACCTCCAAGGTTGAGAGGCAAAGTATCCATAGGTGGTGACTGGACGGAGAGGTAGTTGGGGGACATGGTGGGGCTGAGAGTGACAGGAGAGGAGGCTCAGGGAGGACTAGCCCAGTGCTCCACAGGAGGCCACCAGGTGTTGAGAAAGCCCTGCTGGGTGCCTAGCACTTGGCACGGCACCTGGTATGGAGCAGGTGCTCAGAGCTATGTGGAGCGCATGGGAGCCTGGGTGCAAACAGAGCCCAGCAGGGAGGCGGGCAGCAGGGCAGAGACTGGAGGTGAGAGAGCACCGAACACACTTGACCTACTTTATAACTTCGCTCCAGGTAAGCCCTAGGAGGACAGCACAGTGCCAAATTTCCAGTCAACAGACAAAAGACCTTTGCCCAAACCACAGACAGCATTCCTGCTGTGGCTGGAACTTTGAGGAAGTCCGCTTTGTGTTGGTTACCCTTCAAAGGAGCCCCTGTTCAGGCTTCTGGCCCACTCTGCCTTAGCGTGACAGTCTCCGTTCTTCCTCCCTGCAGGGTACTTCAGGGTAGGCCACGGCCATCTGGGACCTGTCACCAGCCTCCTCTGCACTGGTGCCACAAGAGGATCAGCCTGTGGCACTTCTGTCTATCTCTCCAGCAGGTGCTGACAGCCAAGCCATTCCACACACCTTTGGGACAAAGCACTGCCCAGCAGCCAGGGCCAAGTTCAGAGCCTGAACATTCTTTCACAGGCTCGGCGGAGAACCTGGGGGGCCTGATGGCACATTATATAAGCTGCACGTTGGGGACAAACCACTGATGGGCAGACCCTGGTGCTCCTGGAATTGCGTAAGCTGTATGTACTTGTGAAGTGTCACAACGCGACTCCGCGTCTCTATCAAAAATGTGAGAAGGCCACCCTGCTCACACTCAGACTGCACAAAAGCTCTTCGCCACCAGGTGGTTAAGGCCACTTGATCAGGCTGACAGGAGGGACAGGCCACCTTACTGTAGCTCTTGGCCCGGTGAGCCGAACACTCAGTACCTTGTGGCCCACTAGTCTTAGGCAGCAAAGGCCTCTGATAAAATGTCCTTTTTGCGTGTTTTTCCTGGCAGTCTCGTTTTGGGTTATAAATGGCTCATTATTTCCATCCCATAGATCCACTCTTGCCTGTGTTACGTTCTCTTCTTGTTTTCTGAAATAACTGAAAGGTTGGTAAAATCATGGCTGGCAGACCCCGTCTGTACTGACCTTGAGCAGAGGCCGAATCTCCACATGGCTCACGCCATCTAAGGTTGATCCCATGTGGGAGAGGTTGGCTGCAGAGGCCTCCCGAAAGCAAGGGCTATAATTATATTTACACTAAAGTACTTGGTGCCGTTGAATGCCAGGAAGTAGCATGGACCTTCCCCTCACTCGAGCCCTGCAACCTTTCCAGAGGACATTGGGCAATGGTCAGAGGTTGTGAAGTTGGAACAGTGTTGTGCCCAGATAGATCATTTTCCCTGCAGGGCAGCTTGGAGGCAAATTTTATTAAGTATCAAGTAGCTGACCCAAAGCAGTATAAATAGCAAGAGAGCACATGACCAACCAGGAATGAAGGTGGCTGGAGCGCAGGCCGGAGGTCTGTTACATGCTTATTGACAGCACTTGCTCACTGGTGTCTGTCCCACAGCCATCAGGGAAGGTTGGAGAACCACACAGACCGAGATGTTAAAGCATAATCTCAGGGGGAAAAAAAGAAAAAACAACACTTACTTTTGAAAGTTGGACCCCATAGTTAACCCACAGAAAAGACCTAAGAATGGATTGGAGGTTGAGTGACATTTGGAAGTAGAGACCCAGGCCACCCACGTGAGAGCCCAAGGCAAGCATGAAAACCTGGTTTATATTGGGTAGGGACTGTGAGCAATCACAAATAGGCAAAAGGGACCCAAGTTTGAATTTTTCAAGGGAAGGACAGAGAGAATTTCAATTCAGGTCTGTTCTCCCCAGCATTCCCCACCTTTGCTTTAGGATACACCACATGGTGTACAAGGGCAGAAGGACAGGGCCACAGATGACTGTCAGGAGAGGCCATTGAGCTGCTGCAGGACAGTTTTCATACCCGGCTGTTTCTTGTATGTCCTGGGTCCACTGGCCAGAGCTGTTGACACCTCACAAGAGAATCTGTGTTCCTACAACGATGGGAGAAGGTTCTGGGGAGGAATGGTGTTAGTGGGATGCAGAGTGGAAGTTGCTGAAAATTTCTACTCAGAGATGACAAATGGCTAAGGCATCCTTAGCCCTGCCCCAACTTCCTGTATACCTCGTAAGGGAAGATGTCTGCTTCTTCCAGATCTAAATTCCAAAAATATTTTGAGAGGTGGCAGTATTATTATCATCGGTCCTGTCCCCTCTTTGGGTGAGGATTAAACTCAGGGCCTTGCACGTGTTAGGCAAGTGCTCTACCACTGAACTACATCCCCAGCCCTTTTGTAAGTTTTTTATTTTGAGACAGGGTCTAGCATATTTACTGAGGCTGGCCTAGAACTTACAGTCCTCCTGCCTCAGCCTCCAGAGTCACTGGGATTGCAGGCATGTGCCACTGAGACTGGTTTTTATCTGACCTTTTTAAAGAAGACAAAGGTCACCTACATACATCACTTCTTGTATGTTTATTGGAAATCTGAATCTTTACTTTGTATCTAGAGCAAAGACATAAAGGCCATGAACTTTCGGAGGCCATAAGGGGCTGATGCAGGCAAGGGATTCTTCAGAGGATGTGGGGGATGAATGAGGCTCTGACTCCCTTTCCCAGACTCACCTTTGCTGTTGGCTTCCTACTCAATATTCACTCTGCTTCTTTTCTCCTCCGTAAAACAACTCCAAAGTGGCGATGTGCCTGGCTAAAAGACAGCATTCCCAGCTCCCTTACGGTAGGGATGGCTAAGGAAACCTAAGGAGATATTTTTGGGTGGTCAGGCTTGCCAGAGAAAATATAAGGCACCCAATTGAACTTGAATTTTGGTAAACAGTGAATAATTTTTGATTCTAAATATACATATGAATCTCTCATGTAATATATTTGTATTTTTATTTGCCAAATCTGGCAAATCTATGTGCAGGGATTCTGGGAAATAGGCTAAGACACTCTTTTTTGTCCTTATTTTCCTTTCTCTTTTTTCCTGGGACATGGATGGGGTTACTGGGGTTTCAGCAACCACCTCGAGTCATGTGATTAAAGATAGCAGAAGAGAAAAAGAAGAGAGGACTTGAGTGTCTCATGACTGTGTAACTACAGTGTTATTTATGTGTGAGAATCAACCATTGATTCACTTTAGCCATTAGCTGTGCCTCTGTGATTTGTAGTCAGTTGCTATTTGTAGCCAGTTGCTCCGATATAGCAATAATGAAGTGCGTATTGTTGTTTTTCATGTTTGGTTGAGTCTGTTTACCTTATGCATTTTGCTTTTGCCTCTTCTGGAACAAAACCATTCTACTTTTACTTACTATATGTTGTAGTTGAACACAATACCTTTATCTATCTATCTATCTATTTATTTATTTATTTTTTGTGGTGCTGAGGATCGAACCCAGGGCCTCGCATGTGCTAGACGAGCGCTCTATTGCTAAGCCACGACCCCAGCCCCTGCTTACTATATTTTTTAAGGACCCCACGAGAGATGGACAGTGTTCCTTGTATCCTGTGACATGGCACCCTTAACATGTACTTCTACAAGGTGTTATTATCTATTTTGTAGGCTGAATTTACATGTTTTGAATGATTGCTGCAGATAGTAATAATAATAATAATAATAATAATAATAATAATAATAATAATAATTCTAAGAATAGTTCTTATCTTTGAACAAAGATTTGGCCTGAAAACTCAAGTCCTAGAAAAATGATGCTCTGAAACCTTAGAACCATATTTTAAAACAACATTAACAGCATCACTTACATGCTATCAAGATTAGCTAAGGATGATCAGGTGCACAGGAAAATCTAATTTGTATAGTAGTGCATCAATAATTCAGGAATCATGGGAAATCTGATACCTTCCACTTCATTAGCAAGTCAGCTGCTATGAGCAGCCACAGGAAGGTATTCTGGGAGGTGGAGAGGGCTGCAAAGGTGGCCTCTTTGCATATAAGCCCAGGCTAACTGGCTGAGCATAGCTCATTGTCCATGGAAAGAGCAGTTACTTGGGCTATGAACTGTATAAACGCCTGCCCTCCCCTTGTGCAGTGGAATCTTTTGAAGGTTAAGTAACAGTAAATAATCAACCAAGATTTCTCAGATTAGCTGCATTTACCTTTCTCTGAAAAAAAAATTTTTTTTCCCCCTATGAAGATGAAACAACTTTGGAATGAGAGCTGTATTTCCTTCTAGAACTCCCCATTCAGACCTTCAGAGAGCAGGATCAGACCTGGCCTGGCTGGCAGAGACTGCCTACGGGACATGGCTAGGCTTTGTGATGTGGGTGAGGGGCCATAGGGTTAGAATTTAATGGAAGTGGGGAGAGAAAACTCCCACTTCATTTCATGAGTTTCCACACAGGCCTTCTGGCACCATCTGTCAGCAGGGAAGGGGCCTGCAGAGTCTTGCCCTTCGTCCCTCACTGGGGGTACAGAGAGTCTGGGAGCCAGATCCCAGAGTATGAGCTATATTACAAACCACAACAGCCTCAACTAACTCAAAGGAAAAAATAATACACAAATGGAGAGAGATCAGCCTACCAGACCAGGCCTTGGAGTCTATCATAGGTCATGATGTCATGGTGGTTAGCTCAGAAGAGATGATGGATGACACCATTTGTGTCTAAACCAGAGATGCAAATAAAAGTTGCACAGAAATGAGTTGGGAGGAGGAAAACCAAAGCAAATCTGTTTATTAGTAGTATACTTACAATGTAAAGGGGGGAAAAGAACATATTTCTTTTGTCCAGGGCATATTGATTTATATTGACTATCTAATCAGCACACATTTATTGAACTTGTGTGCTGGGCATTGTGCAAACTGACAGCATGCACCTGTTTTTACAGAGCTGGTGGTAGAAGGGGTAACAATGTCTTTGACCTTCCCAGGAAGGTTAGAATTCTACAGGATTCCTCTGTTCCTCAGGCTGGGTAAGAAAAGAGCACAGCCAAAGCCCGTCACCTCTCTTGTGCTGCAATCGCTTAAGATAATGACAATTGCTGTTCTAAACAAAAGTGTAATAATATGTTGGTAGGAAAGTTTGCAATGTTTTCTCCTCCTCCTTCTCCCCCCATCTTCTTTCTTTTAATAGGCTTATTATAAGCCCTGTAGCAAAGGTTAGAAGACCATTTCATGTTACAATTTCTTTCTCTGTTACTAAATAATCACACGACTTCTGGTGAAGTCCTTTAACTTCTCTGGAATGAAGTTTAAACATTCATAGAATGAGATGGTTAAAAAGCAAGAGAATGGTTTAATGAAACCTGGTTTAGGATAAGCAGTAAGAGGAGGTTAAGAGGGAAGCACTACTTACTAGTCACCTGCAAATTGCATAACTTGGGCTATTAAACATCTTGAAGTTTTAGTCTTCTTATCTGAGAAATGAGGATAATGTGGTATTTCTTGCGAAGGGAAAAATGGACTAATAGGTTAGACACCTGGTTCAATGCATGCAGGGGACAACAAATGTCCCCTTGTGAGTGAAGCTATTTTTATCCTATGAAAATATTAATTGACTCCTTGATTTATTGTTCATATGCACACATGCCTGGATATGTGTATTAATGTACATATCATTGCTGATATCTAAGTGGTTATTTGGGAAATATCAACATATTGGGGGCACAAAGGTGAAATGGATTTGGTTTTCCTCCTAAATAGTACTTTCCACAGTTCTATGCTAACCCCCTTTTCTATCCCTCATCAACAGATTGTAGAAATCTGCAGATTTGAAAGGCGAAGCCCATGAACTTTGAATCTTGCTCTGGTTCAAAGCTTCCCTCCTCCTGTCTATCCATGTTTCAGTTTCCCCAGTGGCTTTGGCAAGGAGGAGCAAGGGGGAAGGGACCATCACCCCTTACCTGCCCAGCTGTGGATGCTATATCTCCAGAGAACATGGTTGGCATGCTGGTGCTTCTGTGTTGCAGGCACCAATGGCTGGTAGCAAGCACATTGTGGGTCTTTGGAGGGCCCTATGGGTCTCCTGAGTGTACATGTCAGTAACCTGGAACCCTCCTCATGATGGACTTCCTCTACTTGTCTCAGCTCTTGCCATAGTCACTACCCTCCAGCCAACTCATCTTGACAGACCATGGCTTGATCTCTCTAGTGTCTAGTGATTTATTTGCATAGTTTTATCAGGATTTGGAAATATGTTCTATGAATGCAGCTTTTGCCCTTGGATGCTCATAACCTAAGCAAATAACCCATGTCGTTTGTTTCTTCTGCCATTTCTAGGCTACCCTCCTGTTGGTCATTGTTCATGCATGTCCCTGGGTTCCCTCATTTGGCACGAGGCTGAAACCATCATGGTCCACTTCTGGAATGCATTTTCTGTTTCTCACCTGCATGGTGAGTGCCTTCAGACAAGGACTGAGCTTTGTACTTCTCTGCTTCAACATCGGCTAGAACAGATTTTACATACTGAGCCTCCATTGCTGTTCGTCCATCATGTGACCCATCCTACAGTTTCCCCACAAACTCCAAGCGCCTCCTTACCACATGCAAGGACTTGGTGGTGGTTCTCAAGAAATTGCCATTCTAGTTGGTAAGGGAAGCAGACAGAAAGAGCTGAGATGAGCTGGTGACACCTTCTGCTCCTGCACCATGAGATCCTGTTCTCTTCTATCCTCTCTGCCCCAGTCTGTTTGATATTGAAATGGAAAGATGGTGAGAATAGAAGCTGGTAGACTGGCAGTCAAGACTTGACATGAAACATCTTCAGCAGTCATTTGATAAGTGTTTGCACTGTGAAGTGTTCTAGCAACCTCATAACTCACACTGGCAACTCCTATAAACACCCTCTCTTCTGTTTTCCTTCACTCTGCAACTTCTCATTCCACCATTGATGGATTAACTCAGTTTAGTGTTTATCAGATGGACTCAGTGCCATTCTTATAGAGACCAAGTCAAAAAGAACAAACAATTATTTATCAAATGAATGCCATTTAAAAGTATTGTGCTGGTCATAGTATTAGGCATAAAGAAGAAATAAGCTGTCACTTTTGCTCATCCTTCATTGACTGATCCATTTATTTTGTCTTTGCACCAAAGATTTGCGGTATCTTATAGCAGGAAGATATTTCCAGTGCTAGTTCTATTAATTAATGCTTTTTTTTTCCTCCTGTGTTTCAAGCTTTATCACCAATAATTGGCTCTTGCAATAGGATCTGAACTTCTTAGAGCATTGGCCTCCCTAAGGAAAACCCAGTTACCCCGACCTGCAATTAACTCAATCTATAGCATTCTTTCTCCTTTATTTCATAAGCTAAGCCCTAGAGCTCATGGTCTACACAGTGACCCACTCCCCCTACCCTGTGGACTTCTCAACCCACCACTCTGCTTTCCATGCACTCCATCAAAATCACACCTGCTAAAGTCAAGGTGACTGACCAGTTGCCAAATGCAATGTGTGATCTTCAGTCCTTGACTTAGTTGATATCTCTCCACATTCAATTTTGCCAATGTTTTCCTCCTCCTTGAAACTTGCTCTTCCCTAACACCACCTTCTCTTGATTTTTTTCTCACTCCTACATCCTCCCTTTCTCTATCCTGTCGCAGCAGACTTTTCTTCTGTTTGTGGCTTAAATAGGGCTGTTACCCAAGGTTCCATACTTAGCTCTATTTAATTCTCATTCTACACCCTATTGCCAGGAAGTCTCACTTGTACCTGTGACTTCAGCTGTAACCTATGTACTGTATCTACAATAACAACATCATTCCATTTGTGAGGGCAGAACCTTCATGACCTACCTCTTCAACCCTTAAAGTTTCTGCCTCTCAACACTGTTACTTTGGGATTGTCTTAGTTTGTTTTCTGTTGCTGTTACTCTATTTAAATACTTGATATTAGGCAATCTATAAAAGTTGTTTTTGGCTCATAGTCCTAGAGGCTGGGAAGTTCAAGAGCATGGTGTGAGGCTCCTGGGGAGGCCTCCTGCAGCTTAAACACATGGCAGAAGGCAGAAAGGCAAGGGGGTGCTTGTGGAAGAGAGAAAAGGGAGTCCAGGCTCCTGCAATAGCTCACCCATTCCTTCAAGAAAGATACCAGTTCATGCAATGAAGGCTCTGCCCTCATGAAATACCACCATGAAGCCTCACCTCCAACACTATCACAACGACAATCAAATATCAAGTTTCAGAGGGGGAAAACATATTTGAACTGCAGCAGGAATTAAGTTTCCAACACACAAACTTTGTGGTACTCATTCAAACCATAGCATGATATGACCAGTCTTTACATTCTTTATTTCATTTAATCCTCATCCCAACCCACTAAGTTTGACAAAGTTACTGCCCCATTTTACAGAGGAAACAGGGACTCTCAAAAAGGAAAGAGCTTGCCCCTTCCTCCCCCACACATCTAGTGAGAAACCACCTGGATTTTGATCTCTACTTCTTTTTGTGAAATTGAGCACTTCCCATGTGCTACATGCAATATTAAGCTTGTTTCAGAAAAAATTTTTCAACCCTTCAAAAGTTGTTGTTATTATTATAACCAACTGAAACTAAGACTCAATGAGAAATTGGCCATGCTCATGTGGCCAAAAAGTATTGAAGACTGGGAACACATGTGTTCCATCTTTTTATCTCCCCAAACTAGCACAATACAGACAAACAGGAGATGTTGCTTAATAAATAGTGTTAGGTAAATTAAGGAATACCGTGCATAAATATAAAACAAAATGTAGGGGCTGGGGTTGTGGCTCAGTGGTAGAGCAATTGTCTAGCATGTGTGAGGCACTGGGTTCAATTCTCAGCACCACATATAAACAAATAAATAAATAAAGGTACATTAATAACTAATAAAAATATTTTTAAAAATGTAAGAGATAGTATAGTGTGAGTTGAAGCATGTGGCAAAGTCTGGGGGTGAAAAATGGAAGAGAATGATGAGTAGGAAAATAAATGGCTCTTTCCTTTAGTGTTTTTGACCAGAAAGCTGGGGTGTGGTTCAGTGGTATAGAGCTTGCCTAACATGTACAAGCTGAATTTCCAGCAAAACACACAAACTCACAAACACACACACACACACACACACACACACACACACACACGAGCTCTTGACCTAAGACTTGTATATCCTGGAAAGGGTCTAGAATACTCATGAAACTTAGGAGATTAAAAGAAAAAATTCTGGTGCACTTTTGTGTCTTGAAATAATTTAAAAATAATTTTGAAGCAATTTTAAAAATAATTTGTTGGCAAGTTTTTCTTTTGAAATTTAGAAAATACAGAAAAATACAGATATACATAGCCTCCATCCATATTCTTCCCACTGTTTTTTAAAAATACAAATACCGGTCTTTTTTTTTTTTTTCTGTTGATTTATATTTGTGTTACTGAAGAGCAAACCCAGGGCCCTGTGTATGTAAGGCAAGCACTCTACCACTGAGCTGCGCCCCAGCCCCATTGATATATTCTTAAAAGCACCCAAGAAATACCCAAATGAAATGTTCCCTTTGCACCATATTCTTTAAAAATCTGCCATTAGTCAGGAGCAGGGGTACATGCCTGTAATTGCAGAGACTTGAGAGGCTAAAGCAAGAAAATTGCAAGTTCGAGGCCAGCCTCAGCAACTTAGTGAGACCCTAATCTCAAAACTTAATAAAAGGGCTGGGGATATAGCTCAATGGTAAATCATCCCTTCATCCAATCTGCAGTACCAAAACTAAAACAAACAAACAAAACCCCCAAATAATAGTAATCATCATCGTCATCATCATCATCATCTGTAAAAAGTTTAAGAATTGTTATTCTCTGGTGATTGTCATTAGCATTGCATATGACTGAGCCTGTATGTTCAAGTCTGTTCTGACCCTCTGTATTATGGGTGATAGTATGCTTAGAGCTTCCTGTGGGTGTCTGCTGGGGCACAGTTACAATTGATAACAGCCCGAGCAGCTACACTGCTATCCTGATTTAACCCCAGGGACTTAAGTGTGTTTTCCTTAGTTCAGAATTTAATTCCTTTATTGGGAAACAACCATGGTTACTATCTTACCCACTTTGTCAAACATATACATACATATATATGTGTATATAATAAATATATATAAATAAGCAAATAAACATTCAGAGAGGACAAGAAGGTCATTTAGCTTAAAATTTGTGAAAGGAAGGCATTTCTGCTCTGATAGAAATAAGAATGCATTTCCTCATCCCATTTGGGATCTGCATGAAGTGCATCATCCAAAACAAGGATGTATTCTTTCCTTTCAGGGAATATTTACTACATCCACAAAATTTTTTCCTTCCTTCCTTCCTTCCTTCCTTCCTTCCTTCCTTCCTTCCTTTTTTCCTTCCTTCAGTGGTGCTGAGGATTGAACCCAGGGATTCATATACACTAAGCAAGCACTCTATCACTCCATCACAAACCTAGTCACCCCCCCCAATTTTTACCTTTGGAAAAATATGACAATATAATTTATTTAAAGCACACTATTTTAAATTGTTCAATGGATATTTACATATGCATCCATGTATGTGTGCTACTACTGGTAAATATATATATGGCTCTTATTTGTATCAGGACATTGAGTGAGAATAAAAAGAAGTAGAGGATGACTCTAGACTGAGGGAAGCCCTGTGTCAGGCACCTGCAGGGCCCCTCATCCAGGCTATCTAGTTTGATATTTGGATAGGCACAATGAGGTCCATTAATTGTCAAGGTAGCTGAGTAATTTGTCCATGGTCACACAGTTAGACAGAATTTGAAACTAGGTCGCTTTGGCACTGTTAGACAATTGCCAACAAACCCTGGTATACTTGCTTAACTTGGGCTTCCCTGACCTCAGAGCCTGAGATATTTTATTTGAAAAGTGATAGCACAGAGGAAGACTGAGGCACAAGGACAGCTGTGAGACAGGGAAGGAGGGAAGAGCTATTGGTTTGGCCTCTACTGCAGATAGCTTCTGGACCCCTTTGAGGAGCCCTGTACATGGCATCTCAATAGTGCTTTCTGGAAGACCAAGGCAGGCACTATGCATCCATTGCTTCCGTCATCTGTTGGTCGAGGGTGGTCCCAGGTCATTAGCTCCCCTCTGACATCTGGATTGTAATGTGCACATACCAGGCAATTTCCTGTGGGCATATTGCATGCACTGGACATGGAGAAGTCCTGGGACAGAAAGCAACAGGTATGTGGTGGAGTCCCAACTAAGACACAATTAGATTGCACTTGTGTAAAGCTGGACAAAGACTACACGACCCCCTCCCCCCCCCACACACATACACCTAGAGCAGTGGCTGCAGTAGAAGACGGGGCTGAGAGGAGAGGAAGAGGTGTGGGAGCAGTATTCAGTACACAAACCAAGAGGGTTCTGGTAATGTAGACCCAGATTGGGAAACAGTTTTCCAGTAACATGCCTCTTCTTGTGGCAGAGATTTCAACCTGAACCCACATCTATTCTTCTGCTGGAGTTCATGTCTGGGCATGTTTGAGAAATTAATGGGGCAGACCTAAGAGAGTCTATTTGTATGCATTTGTGTGCATGACTTCTTTGTTTTTTCCTGAGGGAAGGGGAAAGACATTTCTATGTCTAAGAACTTGGAAAGAGATACAGGGGAAATAGAAGGGCCAAGTGGTAAGTACTGCATAGCAAGGCCTGAACTCAATGGAAAAAAGCAGCTCAGGCAGAAAGGGAATGATCTATTTTATAAGGGATCTGATGCCTTGATATCCAGCAGCCTAAGCTCTTTAAAAACCCAGGTGATAAAGTGTGATCTAGAAGCCGGGGAGTTGGCGCTCTTCCCACTTCTGCATGGTTCTGTAGAGAAGATGGAATGTTTACAAGCAATAAACACAGTGTGGGTACTTGCAAGATTGTTGTTCCATGTGCTCTGGTTTCCCTGTATGTTTAGAGACTAAGGAAGAGTTGTTAGGGATGTTAGCAACTGTCATAACTGGGGAACTGAACCAGCCTTCAGAGATGGCTCAGGGGTGGTCCAAGCAGTGGGGGACAGGAAGAAGGGTTGACAAGTGAGCAGAGCAGGATGCAGGGGTAGCTAGCACT